TTTTTGTTTGTGCTAGTCGTGGTGGGGTCTTGGGTGTCATGTCAGTATGAAGGTAGAATGGAAAGAGGATACGGGTTTGGTTATAGTGTGATAGGTGTGATGGTGATTCTGGGGTAGTGTTTTGGGTTAGCTGGGTAAAAGGTGATTGGAGTTATAGTTAAATTTACAGTTGGGTTTAAGTGTTTGAAATTAATTTCAAAAGGTTGGAAAGCCTTTGAACAATACTGACATGTCAGCCAAGGTTTTAGATGTCTTAAAAAGAATTATTTTTGAAAAAGTTGGGTAGGTTAATAATTTTACAATACTGATTTAGTAGTTAATAACAGTTCTAGTTGAGTAGGCAGTGCGGGAAGCTCTTGTTTTTGGGGTTTGGCAAGGGCGAATGTACCAAATCTGTGAAAAATTTAGAACGGGGGGTAGGGGGGTTTGTCTAAGATAACTGGGTATTAAATTAACGCGTGCGTGTATGCGTGTATGCGTGTATGCGTGTATGCGTGTATGCGTGTATGCGTGTATGCGTGTATGCGTGTATGCGTGTATGCGTGTATGCGTGTATGCGTGTATGCGTGTATGCGTGTATGCGTGTATGCGTGTATGCGTGTATGCGTGTATGCGTGTATGCGTGTATGCGTGTATGCGTGTATGCGTGTATACGTGTATACGTGTATACGTGTATACGTGTATACGTGTATACGTGTATACGTGTATACGTGTATACGTGTATACGTGTATACGTGTATGCGTGTATGCGTGTATGCGTGTATGCGTGTATGCGTGTATGCGTGTATGCGTGTATACGTGCGTTCGTACGTGTATACGTGCGTTCGTACGTGCAGTTCATGTGCATGCGTATACACATGAGCTGTTTAAGAGTTCTATGTCCTTCGAGCATGGATTAAATAGCCCCTATGATAATTATGAGGATAAAGAAGGTACATGCTTAGTCCAGCTACAATAAGTGCACCTGGACGCGGGCCGGCGTAGGCCAATGGTGAGTCCAAGCATCCCCGAAAATTAAAAGATACCAGAGGCACCACAATTCAACTGATGCCAAGGTCACGGACTAAATAGGAATTGAACCATCGAGATGTCTTATTTAAGAGGAACGAATGAGTGACCGAACTTGTTATGGCCCTGAAGTAAGAACCAGATGCCAGGTATAGTTTCAGTATAGCTACCCCCAAGTTTTATGGGCCCGGAGCGAGAAGAGGAGCATTATGTGAGCGGGTTGATGGTTTCACGGAGGATGGTAGTTCCACTAGGAATAATACGGGTGATTATCCGTTTTGACGAGAAATATCGAACTTGATATGTGCCTTGTCCGATTAATGTAGAGATGTGCTATATCCGATTAATAAACTTATGAGCCTTATAAAATCAAGCGATTGATTAGGTTGTGGATAGCCATGGGGTACAGATTTGGTATTGAGTTACACATAGAGTGTTTTATGCACGATCAATAGGGACAATGTACATGCTTATAAGCATGTGGGCTGGAGTTGTATGTACGATATACATAATATGTGCCATGTAAGATTATGCATAATATGTACCCATGCATAATATATGGGGAAAGGCGCAGAATGCACGACGTACATAGGGCGGTTTATCGCAGTTATAATTAATGGGGGTGTTTTCCTAATTTTGCAAGGAGTAGTTTAAATAGAATTTCAGCTTTGGGGGCTGAAGGTGGGGCTGGTGCTTCTTCCTTGAGATGCCCTGGGGAGAGGGATTCTCCATTTCCGGTTTACAAGACCGGGGTATTAGATGTACTACAAGGGCTCTATCACTTAAGTATTTTATTTTCTATTAGGCTTACTGTTGGTATAGCAATGAGGATAAGGGAGAAATATAGGATAGATGCTGCTTGGCCGATGGTGATGAAAGGGTGTTCAACGGGTTGCCCTCCAATTCAGGTAAGGGTGAATAGGTCGGCTACTAGGATTCAGAATAGGCATTGGCTTAGAGGTCGGAATATCATGCTTTGTTGTTTAGCTGTTTGGAGTAAGGGGATAATAGCTAGAATTAAGATGGAGAAGATTAGGGCTAGTACTCCTCCTAGTTTGTTGGGAATGGATCGTAGGATAGCATAGGCAAATAGGAAGTATCACTCTGGTTTAATATGGGGTGGAGTGCTGAGGGGGTTGGCTGGGGTGTAGTTGTCAGGGTCTCCTAGGAGGTCGGGAGAAAAGAATACTAGGGTTATGAGTGGGAGAATGAGGAGAATAAGTCCTAGTAGGTCTTTAATTGTGTAGTAAGGGTGGAATGGGATTTTGTCGGGGTTTGATGGAATGCCTAGTGGGTTATTAGATCCTGTTTCGTGGAGAAAGAGGAGGTGCACTATGACTAAGGCTGTGATAATGAAAGGTAAGATAAAGTGGAAAGCGAAGAATCGGGTTAGTGTAGCTTTATCGACGGAGAAACCGCCTCAGATCCATTCGACTAGGTTGGTGCCGATGTAGGGGATTGCTGAAAGTAGGTTGGTAATTACTGTGGCGCCTCAGAAGGATATTTGTCCTCATGGGAGGACATACCCTATAAAGGCTGTGGCTATTACCGTGAAGAGTAGAATAATTCCGATGTTTCAAGTTTCTGATAGTACGAAAGAGCCGTAGTATAGTCCTCGGCCTACATGGATGAATAAACATAGGAAGAATATAGATGCTCCGTTGGCGTGGAGGTATCGAATTACTCACCCGTAGTTTACGTCTCGGCAGATATGGGTAACGGAGGAGAATGCAGTTGTTGTGTCTGCTGTGTAGTGTATTGCTAGGAATAACCCTGTAATAATCTGGAGGGCTAGACAGGCTCCTAGAAGGGAGCCGAAGTTTCATCATGAGGAGATATTAGATGGAGCTGGAAGGTCAATAAATGAACTGTTTATAATTTTGATTAGAGGGTGGTTTTTTCGGATGTTGGTCATTAAAGTTTTTGTAGTTGAAATACAACGATGATTTTTCATGTCATTAGTCATGGTTTAACTCCATGTAGGAACTATGGCTTATGTTGTGTTTATGTTGAGTGTTGGTTTTGTATTAGGGTTTATGAGTTTTTCTTCAAAGCCTTCACCTATTTATGGTGGTGTTGGACTTATTGTTAGTGGGGCTGTGGGTTGTGGCATAGTTATAAATTTTGGGGGTTCTTTTGTGGGTTTGATGGTATTTTTAATTTATTTAGGGGGAATGCTTGTGGTTTTTGGTTATACTACTGCTATAGCTACTGAGGAGTACCCTGAGACTTGGGGATCTAGTGTTGTTATTTGGGGAGCTTTGTTGTTAGGGTTAATGATGGAGTTGTTGATGATAATGTTAATGGTTGGGTATGAGGGGTTAGGTGGAGTTGGTTTTGTTGGTTTGGAGAATTGAGTTATGTTTGTAGATAAGGAGATTGGTGTAGTTCGTGAGGATTCTTTGGGAGTTACAGCTCTTTATGGCAAGACTAGTTGATTTGTTATGGTTGCTGCGTGGTCTTTGTTTGTTAGTGTTTTAATTGTTATTGAGATTATTCGGGGGTAGGTGTGGATTGTTAAATGATTAAGAGGGTGGTCAGGAGGATAGAGGTCAGGAATGTAAAAAAGTATAGTTTAATGAGGCCTTTTTGATTGGATACTACAATTGAAGTGGTTATTTGTAGGTGAGATAGGTTTTTTGGTATTGTTTTTTCTAGTCAGATTAGGTCTAGTAATAGGGATGCCGTTTTTTGGCTCATGTTTAGGTTGAGTGATGGTATAAGGCGGTGCATGGTAGTTGGGAAATATCCTAGTTGTTCTGAGAATTTGAATATGTTTGAGGGAAGTTTGAATTTTAGGTTCTTTGTTATAAGGTTTAGTTCTATTGCTAAGGCAAATCCTGTGATGGTTACTATCAGGGCTGTTAATTTTAGGTAAGTGGGCATTGTTATTTGTGGTAAGTTTATGGGAGGGGTGTTATAGGATAAGAAGAATCCAGCGAAAATGCTACCAAATGCTAGGCGTTTAATTGAGTTGATTAATAGAGGGTTGTTTTCATTGATATTAATTGTGGTTGTGAATCGAGGTTGATTTGTTAATACGTAGAAGATGATTCGTGTGCTGTAGATGGCAGTTAAGGAAGTGGCAATTAGTGTAATTACTAGGGCTCAGGCGTTGGTGTTTGAGGTGTTTGCGGATTCAATGATTAGGTCTTTTGAGTAGAAGCCTGTTAGAAAGGGCATGCCCGTTAGTGCAAGGCTTCCAATGATAAGGGATGAGGATGTGAAGGGCATGGCTTTAAATAAGCCTCCTATTTTTCGAATATCTTGTTCGTCATTTAAGTTATGGATAATGGATCCGGAGCATATGAAGAGTATGGCTTTGAAGAATGCGTGGTTGCAGATATGGAGGAAGGCTAAATGGGGTTGGTTAATGCCGATGGTAACTATTATTAGGCCTAGTTGGCTGGAAGTGGAGAAGGCTACAATTTTTTTAATGTCGTTTTGTGTGAGAGCGCATATTGCTGTGAATAGTGTGGTGATAGCGCCAAGGCATAGTGCTATGGTTTGGATGGTTTTGTTATTTTCTATTATAGGGTAAAATCGAATTAGGAGGAAAATTCCTGCTACGACTATTGTGCTGGAATGGAGTAGGGCTGATACTGGAGTTGGGCCCTCTATTGCTGATGGTAGTCATGGATGTAATCCGAATTGGGCGGACTTTCCGGTGGCTGCTAGGAGTAAACCGATCAGTGGAATGATATTAGGGTCTTGATTTAGTATAAATATTTGTTGAAATTCTCATGTGTTTGAATATAATAGAAATCATGCTATGGCTAGGATAAATCCAATGTCCCCAATACGATTGTACAGGATTGCTTGTAGGGCTGCTGTATTTGCATCGGTTCGTCCGTACCATCAGCCGATTAATAGGAATGATATAATACCGACTCCTTCTCAGCCGATAAATAGTTGGAACAGGTTGTTAGCTGTTACTAGGATTATTATAGTGATAAGAAATATAAGGAGATATTTGAAGAATTGATTAATGTTGGGGTCAGTGTTTATGTATCATATTGAGAATTCTATAATAGATCATGTGACGAATAGTGCTACTGGTACAAATAGAATGGAGAAATGGTCTAGTTTGAAGCTAAGGGACAGTTTTAGGGTTTGAATTGTTATTCAGTGTCAGTTGGAGATAATTATTTCTTGTCCTGAGAATATGAATAGTGTGGTTGGAATAAGGCTGGTAATGAAGGCGCATGCGATAGAAGATTTCACGTGAAGTGCGAAGGGGGCGTTTTTGTAATTAGTTAAATTTATAGCGATTGGTAGGGCTAGGATTGTAAGTGTGATTAGGGTGAGGGAGGAGAATAAATTTATTACTTTTATTTGGAGTTGCACCAATTTTTTGGTTCCTAAGACCAACGGATAACTCTTATCCTTTAAAAGTTGAGGAAGCCATATTTTTATGTATGGAGTTAAGAATTAGCAGTTCTTGTGTTTCTTTCTCGGTAGATAAGAGGGTTTGAGCTTCTATTGCTGGATTCACAATCTAGTGTTTTGTTTAAACTATATCTACATAATGTTGGGCCTAGGATAGTTTTGGGATTTAGGGTGAGGAATAGTAGGGGAAGTATATGTATGGATATTAGGGTGTTTTCTCGTGTGAATGAAGGGTTGAGGTTATGTGTATGGAATGTAGGTTTTCCTCGTTGTGTGGTGATTAGTATGTAAAGGGAGTAGAGGGCGGTGATTAATATGTTTAAGCCTATTAGGATGATTGAAATATTTGACCATGAGAAGGATGCTATTATTACAAATAATTCCCCGATTAGATTAATGGAGGGGGGTAGAGCTAGGTTGGTTAAGCTTGCTAGTAGTCATCAGGTTGCTATGAGGGGTAGAAGGGTTTGAAGTCCTCGTGCTAATAATATGGTTCGGCTGTGGATTCGTTCATAGTTTGAGTTGGCAAGGCAGAATAGTATGGATGATGTAAGTCCATGGGCGATCATTAGGGCTGTTGCTCCCATGAAACTTCATGGAGTTTGGATGAGAATAGCTACGATGACTAATGCTATGTGACTGACGGATGAGTAGGCAATGAGTGATTTTAGGTCTGTCTGTCGTAGGCAGATAGAGCTAGTTATAATTATCCCTCATAAGCATAGTATAAGGAATGGATATGCTATAGCTTTTGTTGTAGGATCAAGGATGATAGTAATTCGTATTATACCATAACCACCTAGTTTTAGGAGTACGGCTGCAAGGACTATTGAGCCAGCAATGGGTGCTTCTACATGGGCTTTTGGTAGTCACAGGTGGAAACCATATAGTGGTATTTTGACTATAAATGCTATAATGCATGCTATTCATAGTAGATTGCTTGATCATGAGTTGGGTAATTCTTTGAGTCAAAAATTTATTGTTAGAAGGTTTAGTGAGCCTATAGAGTTTTGTAAGTGGATTAGTGCTACGAGAAGTGGTAGGGATCCAATGAGGGTGTAAAATAGGAAGTATAATCCTGCATTTAGTCGTTCTGTCTGGTTACCTCAGCGGGTGATGATGATAAGAGTTGGAATTAATGTAGCTTCAAATAGAATGTAGAATAGGATTAGTTCATTGGCGGTGAATGTTATAACTAGGAATATTTGTAGGGAGATTAGTATGGATAGATAGGACTTTTTGCGAAGTCAGGGTTCTTTTTTGAGGTGGTATTGGCTTGCTATAATTATAAGAGGTAATAATCATATTGTTAAAATTAGAAGTGGCGATGATAGTGGATCGGAGAAAAAGTTTATAGAGAAGTTATTGCTGTTGTTGTTAGGCTGGTTTAGGAAGGATAGGCCTATGAAGCTGATTAATAAGCTGTAGGAGGTTGTGTTGATTCAGATTTTAGAGTTGTTTGAGTATCAAGTTACTGGGAATAATATAATTGTTGGGACAATGATTTTTAGCATTGAAGGAGATTGAGGTTTTGGATATAGTCTAGGCCATATGTGTTGGAGACTATAACCAAAAGAGCCAGGCCTACGGCTGCTTCGCATGCTGCGAAGACTAGTAATAGAATAGGTATTATGAAGGATATTGTGAAATGTATATTTAGGATAATAAGGGTGCTTAAGATAAATATGGAGAGTATTATGCCCTCTAGACATAGAAGTGAGGATATTAGGTGGGAGCGAAACACCAATGTACCTAAAAGGGCGGTGGCAAAGGCCAGAATAATATTGATAAAGATTGAGGGCATGTTAGTAGTTATGGGTGGGTCATAATCTAATGAGTCGAAATCATTTATTTTAGTTTAAACTAACTACCATACTATTCTTCTCATTCTAGCCCTTTCTGGGACCATTCGTAGGCTAGGCCTGCTGCCAGAATGGAAATTAGTAGAAGGGCTACTGTTAGTATAAGATTTAGGTTGATTGTTTGGGATGCTCAGGGGAGCGGTAGGAGAAGAGCAATTTCTAGGTCGAATAGGAGGAATGTAATGGCTACCAGGAAGAATTTTATAGAGAATGGTAAGCGGGCAGATTCTATTGGGTCAAAGCCGCATTCATAAGAGCTATATTTTTCTGTGTAGACGTTTAGTTGTGGAAGTCAGAATGCGATTACTACGAGTAGTAAGGCTAGGAAAATATCAATTATTAAAGTCAGAGAGAGATTTATTATTCTTTTTCGGGTTTCGCCGAAACTAATTGATTGGAAGTCAATTGTACTGGGTTAATACTAAAAGAATAGGATCCTCATCAATAGATAGAAACGTAGAGGAATAGTCATACTACGTCAACGAAATGTCAGTATCAGGCTGCTGCTTCGAATCCAAAATGATGATTGGATGTGAAGTGAAATTTTAGTTGACGAAAGAAACAGACAGTTAGGAAAGTTGATCCGATAATTACATGTAATCCGTGAAAGCCGGTTGCCATAAAGAAAGTTGAGCCATAGACTCCGTCCGAAATTGTGAAAGATGTTTCGAAATATTCGGAGGCTTGGAGAAGTGTAAAATAGATGCCTAGGGAAATAGTGATTAGTAGGGCTTGAAGTATATGTGTTCGGTTGCCTTCTATTAAATCATGGTGGGCTCAAGTAATGGATACGCCTGAAGCCAGTAGGACGGCTGTGTTGAGTAATGGTACTTCAAGAGGATTTAGTGGGTGAATGCCTGTTGGGGGTCAACAGCCGCCTAGTTCGGGAGTGGGGGCTAGGCTGGAATGGTAGAAGGCTCAAAAGAAGCCTGCGAAGAAGAAAATCTCTGAGATGATGAATAGGATTATCCCATATCGTAGACCTTTTTGGACAGCTTGGGTATGATGTCCTTGGAATGTTCCTTCTCGCACAACATCACGTCATCACTGGTATATAGTTAATAAATTGGTTAGTAGTCCTAGGGTGAGGAGAGTATTGGAGTTGTGGTGGAATCATATGGCAAGGCCGGATGTTATTAGAAGGGCGGAGAGGGCTCCTGTGAGGGGTCAGGGACTGGGGTTAACTATGTGGTAGGCGTGGGTTTGGTGGGTCATTAGGTGTTGTCGTGTAGATAAAGGCTAACTAGTAGGGTAAAAACGTAGGCTTGAATTAGGGCGACGGCAAATTCAAGGATTGTAAGGAGAATGAGAATAATAAATGTAATTGAAGCAGTGGCAGGACTGATTGAGGTTAATACTAAGGTGGCTCCGCCAATTAAGTGTATGAGTAGATGGCCTGCTGTAATGTTGGCTGTCAATCGTACGGCCAATGCTATAGGTTGAATGAAAAGGCTAATGGTTTCAATAATTACTAGTATAGGGATAAGGGGAACTGGTGTTCCTTGTGGTAGTAGATGGGCCAAGGATATTTTTGTTTTATGGCGAAAGCCTGTAATGACTGCGGCAGCTCATAGTGGAATGGCCATGCCTAAGTTCATTGATAGTTGAGTGGTAGGGGTGAATGAGTGGGGTAATAGACCTAGTAAGTTGGTTGATCCGATAAATAGGATTAGTGAAATTAATATAAGTGATCAGGTTCGTCCTTTAATGCTGTGTATCATTATTAGTTGTTTTAATACTAGTTGAATGAGTCATTGCTGTAAAGAAGTCAATCGGCTGGTAATAAGACGGGTGGGTGAAGGGAATAGAATACTAGGGATTGCAATGATTAGAATCACAATAGGGATTCCTACAATTGTTGGGGTAATGAAAGAGGCAAATAGATTTTCGTTCATTTTGTTTCTCAAGGGCTTACATGTTTATTTATGCTAATAGTTTTTAGTTCCGGGTTTAATGGGTAGTTAAATTTTGAGACTTTTAGTTGAAAAATGATAAACAGGGTTAAGATCATCGAAAGAATTGTAATAAGTCATGTTGATGTATCTAGTTGGGGCATCTCACTGTGGAAAGATTTGAGCTTTCAGTCTTTAACTTAAAAGGTTAATGCTAGTTAGCTTCACGGTGATGTTAAAATATAGATAACAATCACTCCTCGAAATGTTTTAGGGGGACTAGCTCGAGTACGATGGGTATGAAGCTGTGGTTTGCGCCGCAAATTTCTGAGCATTGGCCATAATAGATGCCAGGACGCGAAGTCATTAAGGTTGCTTGGTTTAGGCGCCCCGGGATAGCATCTGTTTTTACACCTAGTGAGGGTACGGCTCATGAGTGTAATACGTCTTCTGAAGAGATAAGTATTCGAATTGATAGTTCTGTAGGTAGTACAACTCGGTTGTCTACTTCGAGCAGACGAAGTTCTCCGGGCTTGAGGTCCGATGATGGAACTATGTATGAGTCGAAAGACAGATCTTCGTAATCTGTGTATTCATAGCTTCAGTACCATTGATGACCTATGGTTTTAAGGGTTAATGAAGGAGTAGTGATTTCATCCATTATGTATAGGATACGTAGGGATGGGAGGGCGATAAGAATTAGAATGATTGCAGGTAGGATAGTTCATACTGTTTCTACTTCTTGTGCGTCCATGGTGCTGGTGTGTATGAGTTTGGTGGTGAGTATTAGAGAGATGATATAGAGAACTAGAGAACTAATTAGGAATACAATTATTAAAGTATGATCATGAAAGTATAGGAGCTCTTCCATGATGGGGGAAGCAGCATCCTGAAATCCCAATTGAACTGGATAAGCCATGAAGATATATAGGGGTTCAACCTATAAGTTAACTTTGACAAAGTTATGTAATTGTTTTACTAATATCTTGAATGGAGAAAGTCATAGTGGTTATGGGGTTGGCTTGAAACCAGTTATAGAGGGTTCGATTCCTTCCTTTCTTAGGGTATCTTTACATATGCGGGTTCTTCGAATGTATGGTAAGGTGGAGGACAGCCGTGTAGTCACTCTAGATTTGTTGGTGTGAGTTCTACTATTAGGACTTCTCGTTTTGAAGCAAAAGCTTCTCAGATTATAAAAATTATTAGTATTACTGCTGTTAAGGAGATGAAAGAGCCAATGGATGATACGGTATTTCATATTGTATAAGCATCGGGATAGTCTGAATAGCGTCGTGGTATTCCGGATAGGCCTAGGAAGTGTTGAGGGAAAAAGGTTATATTTACGCCTACAAATATGATTGCAAAGTGAATCTTTGCTCAAGTGTCATCTAGCGTATAACCTGAGAATAGAGGGAATCAGTGTGCAAATCCTCCTATGATAGCGAAAACTGCTCCTATTGACAATACATAATGGAAATGTGCTACTACGTAGTATGTGTCGTGAAGGACAATATCTAAAGATGAGTTGGCAAGTACAATTCCTGTTAGTCCTCCAACCGTAAATAGGAAGATAAAGCCTAGAGCTCATAATATGGCAGGTGATCATTTGATATTGCCGCCATGTAATGTAGCTAATCAGCTGAAGACTTTTACGCCCGTGGGGATAGCGATGATTATAGTAGCTGATGTGAAGTATGCGCGGGTGTCTACGTCCATACCAACTGTGAATATATGGTGAGCTCACACAATAAAGCCTAAGAAGCCAATGGATATTATGGCTCAAACTATACCCATATACCCGAATGGTTCTTTTTTGCCTGAATAATATGTGACGATATGAGAGATTATTCCGAAACCAGGTAGAATTAGAATATATACTTCGGGGTGTCCGAAGAATCAGAATAAGTGTTGATATAAAATAGGATCTCCACCTCCAGCAGGATCGAAGAAAGTAGTATTTAGGTTGCGGTCAGTTAAGAGTATTGTAATACCTGCTGCTAAGACTGGTAAAGATAGTAGTAGGAGTACAGCTGTAATTATTACAGATCATACAAATAAGGGGGTTTGGTATTGTGATATGGCTGGGGGTTTTATGTTAATTACTGTGGTGATGAAGTTAATAGCCCCTAAAATAGAAGATACTCCTGCTAGATGTAGGGAGAAGATGGTTAGGTCTACGGAAGCTCCTGCATGGGCTAAATTTCCTGCTAGGGGTGGATATACTGTTCACCCTGTCCCTGCACCAGCTTCTACTATTGAGGAAGCAAGAAGGAGAAGAAAGGATGGGGGTAGGAGTCAGAAGCTCATGTTGTTTATTCGAGGAAATGCTATATCAGGCGCTCCAATTATTAGAGGGACTAATCAATTACCGAAGCCACCAATTATAATAGGTATTACTATAAAGAAGATTATGACGAAAGCATGGGCCGTGACAATCACATTATAAATTTGGTCGTCTCCTAATAGAGTTCCTGGTTGGCCAAGTTCCGCACGAATAAGGAGGCTGAGGGCTGTTCCTACTATACCTGCTCAGGCTCCAAATAATAAGTAAAGAGTTCCGATATCTTTATGGTTTGTTGAGTATAATCAACGGTTGATGAACATAAGTATTGGTAAAATGGCTGAGATAGAGGCATTGGACTGTAAATCTAAAGACAGAGGTAACCCTCTTTTTACCAGCTCTGAGGTGAATTTTCATATTGAATTGCAAATTCAAAGAAGCAGCTTCAATTCTGCCGGGGCTTCTCCCGCCTTTTTTCCCCTGGCGGCGGGAGAAGTAGATTGAAGCCAGTTGACTAGGGTATTTAGCTGTTAACTAAATTTTCGTGGGGTTGGAGCCCACCAGTCTAGGTGAGGATTTAGCTTAAATAAAGTAATTGGTTTGCGTCCAATTGATGTAGGATAGAGTCTTGCAGTCCTTATTAGCAGAAATTAAGTATTGTTTACTTTCTTAGGGCTTTGAAGGCTCTTGGTCTACTTAACCTAAATTTCTAGCTTAATGTTAGTAGAATTGGTGATAAGGGGAGGGATAGGGTAGATAGGGCAATTAATGGTGGTAAAAATAGTGTGTATTTTGTTGTTTGGAATTGTCATTTTATTTTTATGTTGTTGAATGTGGGGAACATTGTTAGGGAGGTAGAATAGATTAGTCGTATGTAGAAGTAAAGATTTAGGAGTGCTATGATTACTATGATTGTGGCTATAATGATGTTGTTGTTTTTTGTTAGTTCTTGTACGATTACCCATTTGGGCAGGAAGCCTGTGAGTGGTGGTAGTCCTCCTAGGGATAGAAGGGATGTTAGGATTATTAGAGTAATTGTTGGGCTTTTGTTTCATAGGATTGATAGGGTGAGTGTGGTGGTATTTGTGTTGATATTGAGTATGGTGAATAAGGTGATGGTTAATATTAGATAAATTAGTAAGTTTAGGATTGTTAGGGATGGGCAGAATATTAGGACGGCTATTATTCAGCCTATGTGGGCGATGGATGAGTAGGCTAGGATTTTTCGTAATTGGGTTTGGTTTAGTCCTCCTCAACCTCCTACTAGAACTGATAATAAGGCGAATGCTAGGAGGATATTTATGTTTATTGATGGGTAAATTTGTATTATGATAGAGATTGGGGCTAGTTTTTGTCATGTTAGGAGAAGTATTCCTGCTATTAGTGTGACTCCTTGGGTTACTTCGGGGACTCAGAAATGGAATGGGGTTATCCCTAGTTTTATTGTTAGTGCGATGATAATTGTAAGGGAGGTAAGCGGGTTATGAGTATTGGTAATGTTTCATTGGCCGGTATGTATAGCGTTGATGACGATGGTTATTATAAGTAGTATGGAAGCTGTTGCTTGTGTTAGGAAGTATTTGGTGGCGGCTTCTGTAGATCGGGGATTAGTTTTTTTTGCGAGGACTGGAATGATGGCTAGTATATTTATTTCTAGTCCTATTCAGATTAGAAGTCAGTGAGAGCTGATTATTGTAAGTATAGTTCCTGTAAAGATAGTTAGGGTAATTGGTATTAGGGCAGTGGGGTTGATTAGTACGGGAAGGATATAAACCAACATTTTCGGGGTATGGGCCCGATAGCTTATTTAGCTGACCTTACTGTGTAGAATGTGGTGTATTTTGGGTAGCACGAAGAATTTTGAATTCTTAGGGGTAGGTTCAATTCCTATTGTTCTAGAAATAAGAGGATTTGAACCTCTATTATTTACTCTATCAAAGTAACTCTTTTGTCAGACATATTTCTATATTTGGGGTGGAATACCCGATGATAGAATAGGAAGGGAAATGTACCATATACATAGTGCTAGGGTCAGTGGTAGGAAATTTTTTCATAGTAAATGTATAAGTTGATCGTATCGGAATCGTGGATATGATGCTCGTACCCATAAAAATAGCGTGATTAAAAGGAGGGCTTTAGTAGCGAATATTGTGGAGTATGCTTGTGGTATGTAAGGGTTATATAGTGTTCCTAGGAATAGAGTTGTGGTTAGGACATTTATTATAATAATGTTTGTGTACTCTGCTATGAAGAATAGGGCAAAAGGGCCTGCAGCGTATTCTACATTAAATCCTGAGACTAACTCTGATTCTCCTTCTGTTAGATCGAAGGGGGCTCGATTGGTTTCTGCTAGGGTGGATACAAACCATATTATGGCTAGTGGTCAGGATGGGATAATGAGCCATGTGAATTCTTGAGTGATAATAAGGGTGGAAAGAGTAAATGATCCATTTATTAGGAGGATGGATAGGAGGATAATGGCTAGAGTGACTTCATATGAAATTGTTTGTGCTACTGCTCGTAGGGCTCCGATAAGGGCATATTTTGAATTAGAAGCCCATCCTGATCAGAGGATGGAGTATACTGCTAAGCTGGATGTAGCTAGTATAAATAGAACTCCTATATTTATATTGATTAAGGGTTGTGGTAGGGGTAGGGGTGTTCATATGATTAGGGCAATAAATAGGGCTAGTGTTGGTGCGGTGATATAAAGTAGTGTAGAGGAGGTTAGGGGGCGTAGTGGTTCTTTGATAAATAGTTTTATAGCATCGGCAAAGGGTTGGAGGAGACCATGGGGTCCTACGATGTTAGGGCCCTTGCGGAGTTGTATGTATCCTAAGATTTTGCGTTCAATTAAGATTAGAAAGGCTATGGCAAGTAGGATAGGAATAATTAGTAGGAGGAGGTTGAGTGTGAACATGTATGTTAAGAAGAGGAATTGAACCTCTGGTTTATAAAGTCTTAAGTTTTATGCAATTGCCGGGCTCTGCCATCTTAACAAGCCCTGGTTTTGGGCAGAATTTTAGTGGTATGTTAGATTAAGTTTACTTCATCTATTTAACTGAGGGCTCTTTGTTAAGTTGGCTCTGTTTCTCTTGTCCTTTCGTACTGGGAGAAGCGTTTAAATAGATAGAAACCGACCTGGATCGCTCCGGTCTGAACTCAGATCACGTAGGACTTTAACCGTTGAACAAACGGGCCGTTAATAGCGGTTACACCATTGGGGTGTCCTGATCCAACATCGAGGTCGTAAACCCTATTGTCGATATGGACTCTATAATAGGATTGCGCTGTTATCCCTAGGGTAACTTGTTCCGTTGATCAAATTAGTTTGGATCAGTTGGTAATTTAGTTTGCTTTGACTGGTGAAGTCTAGGTTAAAATTGTTCGGAGGTTTTATTGTGCTCCGAGGTCACCCCAACCGAAATTTTTAACCCAAGGGTTGATAGTAGTTATGCCTGTTGGCTAGGTTTATTTGTATCTGTGTGGGTTATTTAATTTAAGCTCCATAGGGTCTTCTCGTCTTATTGTTGTATCCCCGCCTCTTCACGGGGAAGTCAATTTCACTGATCTAAAGTAAGAGACAGTTTAACCCTCGTTTGGCCATTCATTCGAGTCCTTAATTAAAGAACAAGTGATTATGCTACCTTTGCACGGTCAGGATACCGCGGCCGTTAAACATGTGTCACTGGGCAGGCAGTGCCTCTAATACTGGTTATGCTGGAGGTGATGTTTTTGGTAAACAGGCGGGGTTAGTTTTTGCCGAGTTCCTTTTACTTTTTTAAATCTTTCCTTAATGCGCTCCTGTGTTGGGTTAACAGTTTGTTGAAGTAAGGTGTCTAGGGTATATTTTATTTTACTTTGCTGTTAACTATCAGTGAGTATTCGGTCTGATATAAGCTTGCGCTGTGGAGAATGGGGATTCTTGTTACTTATATTAACAGTATTACTCCTATTGGATAATAGGTTGGTCCAGTTGATTAGTAGGAGATTAGTGTGAATTGTTGGAATTGAGGGGTATTGTGTGTTGAGCTTTAACGCTTTCTTGGTTGATGGCTGCTTTTAGGCCAACAATGGTGTTAAAGTTATTTACTCTCTATTGAAGGTTGTAGCCTGATCTAAAGAGCTGTTCCTCTTTAGATTAACTTTTAAATTTACGCTAGGTTTAGTAGGTACTTTGGGTAAATTTAAGGTTGAACTAAAATTCTTTCCTGGACAACCAGCTATCACTAGGCTCGTTAGGCTTTTCACCTCTACTCGCAGATTTTTTCACTATTTTGCTACATAGGTGAGTGCGTCCTTATATGACTATCTGTGAGTAGCTCGTCTAGTTTCGGGTCTTCTGACTGAAATTCTTTTTGTCAAGCTGCTTCTGGTTAAGTCATTATGCAAAAGGTACAAGGGGTAGGCTTTGCTTTTTTGTACTTTAAGATATTCTTTCATCTTTCCCTTACGGTACTGTTACTATAGCGCTAGGTAAAATTTCTATCTCCTATACTGTTAATAATTTGTGGTAAATGATTTAGTTGAGTGTTTTATATTTGTTGAGAGGAGTGAAGTTAGGCTAGTATTGGTTTCAAAGTGGTCACGTTGTTGTGAAATCTTCTGGGTGTAAGCCGGGTGCTTTAGTGTTAAGCTACACTTTGAGTATTCCAAGCACACTTTCCAGTATGCTTACCTTGTTACGACTTATCTCCTCTTGTATTTTGAGTGGTAATTAAGGAATTGGTAATAGAAGTTTAGAGGAGGGTGACGGGCGGTGTGTGCGTGCTTCATGGCCCTATTCAATTAAGCTCTCTATTCTTAATTTACTACTAAATCCTCCTTCGGCCTTTAGTTTCATAAAGGTTGTTGTAGTATGTGCTGTTCTGTTATTAGAAAATGTAGCCCATTTCTCTCCACTTCATAGACTACACCTTGACCTAACGTTTTTATGTAATATGCTTGCGCTTACTTTAGGGCCTTGATAGGGTTTGCTGGGGATGGCGGTATATAGATTGAATTAGCAAGAAGTGGTAGGGTTTATCGGGGTTTATCGATTATAGAACAGGCTCCTCTAGGGGGATATAAAGCACCGCCAAGTCCTTTGAGTTTTGAGCTGTTGCTTGTAGTACTCTGGCGAGTAGTATTGTTTGTTAACTACTTAAGTTTATGGCTAAGCATAGTGGGGTATCTAATCCCAGTTTGGGTCTTGGCTGTCGTGTTTTCAGGGTGTTAAAGTCACTTTCGTAGTTTGTTTTATTTTTAGCTGGAGCATTTTACAGCTCAGATAAAATTTAACTTTATTTAAGGGTACTCTTAAACACACTTTACGCCGTGTTAAATTAGTTTGGGTTAATCGTATGACCGCGGTGGCTGGCACGAAATTTACCAACCCTGAGTATCAGTATGGCTTAGTCTAACTTTCGTTAATTGCTTAAGTTTTGTCACTGCTGTGTCCCGTGGGGGTGTGGTTTAGCAAGGCGTAGTGAGCAGCCATCTGGCGTGCTTGATGCCTGCTCCTTTTGATCGTAAGGATCTGGAGGGCATTCTCACTGGGATGCGGTTACTTGCATGTGTAATCCTACTGATAACTAATAAGAAGGCTAGGACCAGACCTATATGTTTATGGGGTTAGCTAACCCGTCTAAGCATTTTCAGTGCTTTGCTTTGGTAGTTTAAGCTACATTAAC